TTCAGAGTGATGGTGAAATAGATGGGGATATTATCATCAGAATTAAAGTTGGATGGTTGAAGTGGAGGAATGCATCGGGCTTGTTATGTGATAGAAATGTACCCGTCAAACTTAAGGGAAAATTCTATAAGATGGTAGTGAGGCCTGCAATGCTTTATGGTGCCGAATGTTGGCCATTAAAAGAGAGATAATACTAAGTTAAGTGTGGTAGAGATGAGGATGCTCAGGTGGATGAGTGGCTTTACCCTTAGAGATAGGATACGAAATGAGCATATACGTGAAAAGGTTGGAGTAGCTCCAGTAGAAGATAAGATTAGAGAGAGTCGCCTTAGATGGTTTGGTCACATAAAACGGCGGCCTTGCGATGACCCGGTTAGGAAAGTAGAGGTATTGATTTGACTTATGTTAAGAAAGGTAGGAATAGACCTAAAAAGACTTGGTTAGAAAATATTAGGAATGACCTTTCTTTATTAGATTTAAACGAGAATTTGACTTTTAATAGGACACAATGGAGAAAAAGGATTCATGTAGCCGACCCCACGTAGTGGGATAAAGGCTTGATGTTGTTGATGTTGATCTTCAAACAACAATCAATGATCGAATCATCTTCGAACATGTCTATATATTTCGACATCAAAAAAATAGTTTGTAGTTATCTCTTATCAAAGATATCTTGGTTCAAAGTGAATTTTCATATAAATTTCTTAAATAAATTATATATATACAAATTTTATTATTATAGAGTATATAAATTCAACTATTCCTATCACAGTCATGTAAATTCTTACGAAATAACTCTTTGAGTTTAACACCATAACTATTATATTTTGATTTATAAGATTTATTGAACCCTACTTGCAGCCAAACAACCTAAGGGTTTTGTTCGAGAAAACAAATTTCAAATTGAGTTATTTATGCAGCTCATCTTAGTTAGAAGTTTTGGCTGTCAACTAAGAGTTATTGAGTTCGAAACTTATGCATGTGATGTATGTGCGAGTTAACTTAATTGACCTAAAAGTCCCCAAAAAATTTGAGTTATTTGCCTGGAACCGGATCGATCAAACACAGAGGAAAATCTCATGTGCTTCAACAAACATCTGACATGCAACCACATGGGAAAGAGCAGATATTCATGAAGCAGATGCGTGAGAGGAAAAAGATCTTAAAAAAATAAAATAAAGGGCATGAGGAATTTTGCTTGATTTTTATCTCGAGGGGGCCAGGTTTCGAGCCCTATATTGGGCAAGTCGGGTTTTGGACGGACCATATATTCCTTTCAAGTCAAAAATCCCTCATCATAATGCTATGTGAAAACCCGACCGATAGTGCATTGGATCATTTGAATGTAATGCAGGGCTGTTAATTGCTTGGATGACTGAGGTTTATGATATTTGATTGGTTTAGGGTAATTGAAGTTCATGGTGACTGGAGTTTAGGTTGATTGAAGCTCAAGTGACTGCATGTTAGGTGATTGTAGGTCGGGTGACTATAGCTCGGGTGACCTCGGCTGGAAGTGAGGTCAACATATAGTAAGAACATTAAGAAAGGAGAAATGTGGAGGAGAAGGAGAAGGAGAATGAGGATAGTGAGAAGGTGCATGCCACTAACCCAACTTGTGAAGAGGTGTAGTAGGAGAAATATATGGAGTAGGAGTTGGAGGACAAGGTAGAGTTTGGCGGTCAACCCATTGTCATTATATGTGTAGGTAAGGATGAGAGGAATCATTGGAATGACATATTGACATTAAATATATAGAATATGAGAGGTAAGACTCAAGGGATCAACTCCTTGCCATTATATATACATATAAGAAAGTGGTTAGTCTAATTATTATAATTTACAAAAAAATATTGTATAGCCAACAATGTTAACAAAATTTGTGAAGAATAAGTGCTTGACTAGAGATGTCACTAATCTATTAAGGTAAAGGTATAAGTCCATGGATCATTATGCTATTAACCCTCTCCATGCACTAAATTGACTGTATTTTTCTCTTTTAAGTCTTTAATGTAGAAATGACTAACAACTCAAAGGAGGTGAAGAAGTAGGTAATGGAAGTGCAGAGTGGTTCTAGTTCAAAATACTCCCACTACATTGTTAAGTAGTATGGTGACATGTCCTTTACTTTGTTGAAAGCATGGTTCTAACATTTGGAAGATATTTTCAGTAACTTTTTTTTTTTGTTTTCTTTTATCTTTTACCAACATATTGATTATTTATGTTTCTTAATAAGGAAGAAAATTCAACTAAACTCGAAGATCTATGATTTAGCATCACTGTGTTGAATAAATCATTTGATTAATATTATAGAATAACAGTTTTCATCTTTGAGAAACTTTGGAAAAAATAACTTCTTTATGTGGCTTGATGCATTGACGTGGCACTCATATATGCTATTGGAGAGGAGAAGTTCCTAAAGTTATTGGTTGGTGTAGAATTCACATATTTTGCAATGAACTAGAATAGCAGTCACTGGATTACATGTGATATCTTACTACATAGTCCATGAAGTTTTATGATTATGACTCCTCTTGCACAACACTGAAGATCTCATAGAGAATGATGAATCCAATATATAAATGTTTCTCAATGTTGCTTCAATAATTAGGATTATTTGCTAAAAGACATGATTTTTTTCTCCTAAATCTCCTTAGATGTAAAGTAGGGCCACCATCAATGTGACTCTGACGTTACAATAAGAAAATTCATTCTAAACTTTAAGAAAATTTAACTTAAAAAATCATTGCACATAGTATGCTGATTACTCTATATCTTATTTGCAATTATAATCATGAATTGTATCGAATACAATAGATCATACATTTTTTTTCAAAGAAAATTCTTTAGAAGTCACACATGATCACATGCAATTCTTCAGAGACCATTTATTTGTAGATTTATCTCACCATAATGTAGATTTACAATTCCATTTATCATTCTAATGTAAAAATTAAAACTTAAAGTATATTCATTCTTTAATTAAATTAGTTTGTATAACTATGTTATAGATGATATTGATATTGTTGTGGATTTTATACATCAGTTTTCTCATAAGCACTATGTATTATGATTGTTGTGTTTCCTTTCTTAAAAAATGCTATATGCTTATAAAACTTATGATATGACAGCTATGCTGATTTTTTATAATTTGTTTTGTTTGTTTACAAAACTTTGTGTTATAGCTGATGTATTTTATTTCTTACAATCAATTTATAAATTTGTGAAATACATCTTCTTTTGCCATAGTTGTTGTGATTGTGTTCTATATTATATTAGTTGAAATATGATTTATTATCATACATTGATCAAATATTTTTCAAATAATAATAAAACATTAAATGAACAATGGTCGAGTATTCTTCGTACTATGATCTGATCTCCTTCGAACTATTTTCATCGATGATTAAATAATAATTGCACCTTATTCGTAATATGATGGAATCATATGCAAACTAAATTTGAATCATTTCCAAACTAATTTTAAATTAGTCATCTTCAAATCACAATCAATGATCGAACCATCTTCGAACCTATCTATATATTTCAAAGTCAAAAAGTAGTCCGTAGTAATTTCTTATCAAGGATATTTTTGTTCAAAGTAAATTTTTGGATAAATTTCTTTTAAAAAAATAAAATAAAGGGAACTAGGAATTTTGCTTGATTTTTATCTGGAGACGGGCTGGGTTTCTAGACCTATATTAGGCGGGTCGGGTTCTGGATGGACAATATCTTCCTTTCGGGCCAAAAAGCACTCATTCATACTGCTCCATGGAAACCGGGCCGCAATCTCATACTCCAAAATTGATCAAAATTCAATTGCAAAAACAAAAAAAGATCATAATATCTTATGTAAATTATATTTGGACTAATTTAATTATTATTAAATTTCAAAAGATTAATTCATTAATTTTAATTAAATTAATTATGATATAATTTATATAAGAACTATATCCAATCCTATTGACACACATTTACTTAATTTTTTTTTCAAATATTTATATTTACACAAAGAAACAGAGAATATATTAGTTTGTTTTTTCTTTTATATAAATGAATAAATGCACCATTAAGAAACTAAAAATATAATAATTTGATTTTTTTCATGCTTTTATTTTTATTTTTTTTTAAGTAATGCCATTTAACAAGTGAAGATCAAGAACAACAATCTTTATCATTGTTGCTCCGAGACGCTCAGTTTGACTATAAGCTCGCTGAAATCGGAGATCATATGCTCCCGAAATTAATTTTTGAAGTTTCCAACTAAGTTTTGCCTCGAGATTCGTGCCCAATCAAGATAATTTTGTGATGACGTATCAATCATAAATATTACACAATATAAAATTTCATGAATATTATGATTATTCAACATACTTGCAGAAATAACACTGAAGAACAATTTAGATAGAAATAAATGGTAAAGTAATTTTATAATATATGAGTTTCCAAATCAAATAAAAATTTTGAGCTTGAATAAAGAAACATTTAGAATGATTTTATATACTTGATTTCAACCAAACTAACCAAGCAATCTTTTAGGGTGGGTAACTATTAATCATTCATCTCTTCATCATATCTCAGCAACAATTAATACTTCAAACCCAAGACTTCGTTTGGTATGACTTTGTTGTTGCTTCTTAAAGCAGTTTTCTAGCACAAAAAATAAAATTTTTGTACTCGACAAAGCAGTAAAGAAAACCATCCCAAGACATCTTCCTTGCTGCAAAGCAGTTTTTAGTAAAAAAAAAATTAACTTTTCTACTATAAAGCTGATTTAAGAAGCTGTAAGAAAGCCGTCTCAAACGAAGCCTAAGACTTATTACAACTTTCATACCGGAATACCGCTTCCTAAAATAATTTTGTAATACAAAAATCTCTAATTCAAAAAAGAAAAAATTTTCATATATAAAACCATATACAAATCTATGAAGATGCTTCTGCATTACTTGAACTTTCTTGTCAGATCCATGGAGATCTTTGCTTCTTATAACATAATGATCATATAAAATGCAAAGTTTTTCGGAGTTACTATCATCATATATATAATATCCTCTCTTAATGCATATGCAAGTGAATCATCATTTAGCAAATGCCAGTTTCTTTGATCCTCAAAGATAGCAGTTCTGATAACATTAATCTCATTACTTTACAACCAAAGAAATAAAACACATATAATCCTGACGCAAACATTTTCTTAATCATGCTAAATTGAACGAACTGGCTGCGCTCTCCACAAACTTCCTTGCCCCTTTGAACCACCTCTTGTCACCTGCCTGTGCTTTGCAAATGTAGAGCTTGCCATCTGACACAGCTGCAGAAATCAGCTGATGCTTGCCACCTTCATCACCATCCGCCGTCCTCGTCAACACTGAAACAAAATAGTATTGCTTCCCATTGATCACCGGCGCCGAAGATTCCAGTATATTAGCAGTAGCAACCAAGTTTTCATCGAACCCTCCCTAGAAAATCAATCATTTGAGAATCAAATATATACATGTGCCGCCAAATTGCGTGACTTTGACAAAGAAATTTAGGCTTCATTTGGGATGACTTTCTTACTGCTTCTTAAAACAGCTTTCTTTAAGAAGCAGTAAAAAATCCGTGTCAAATGAAACCTTAATGCAACTACCTCAGATTGTGTGTTTCCAGAGTAAGCCTGTTTGCCTAGCAAGAAACCAACCTGTGCACAGAAGCAAAGGAAAACAGGTAGAAATTCTGTGACATTGACAAAGAAATTTAAATGTGCAAATGATAGATAAAACAAATTGAAGTGGGAAATGAGAAGTAATTACTTGTGAGAGAAACTGCTCGGGTGGTCCATAATCAGTGATTGACTTTTTGTCTGTGGGAGTGACGATGACTGAAACATAGCTGTTAGAGTCAAAGTTGTCTTCATATCTGAGAACTTGGCCAGGGAATTCTACCTCCTTGCTTGGGTTCCATTTGGATGGTATTAAGAGCTTGAATCCATTGCCATTGTAGGGGAGGAAGTCTGTGTTAGTCTTCGGCTTGCCAAAGACATTAGCTGCATCAAGTTCAGATATAATTGAGTGAGATGTGAAATGCTCTCTGGTTTGTGAAGAAAATTTGGCAGATAATGTCTGTGAGATGCTCCATATGAGCTTGTCTTGGGCCTAAGTCGAACTTGAAATTTATATACTAAACTAGACCAAATCACTTGAACACCTATTTAATCTTAGTAGTCCTAGACTTGTCTTGGGCCTGCTAAATCTTGTTTAACTTTAAAAAAAATTAATTTTAATTCATACATGACTTTCTTGATCTTGATTGGACAACAATTTTTATGTAAAGATAATTTGGAAGTGTACCATTCTCAGTCTTTTCTTTTGATGATGAGTAAGGTGATTTTTTTATCATGCAAGCAAGCCTTCCTTGTGAGCATTTCAACTTATATACATTAATTATGATTGATTTAATTTATACAAATAGTTATAGTCATGAGAAAAAATTCACCAAACAGCCTACATGTATGTGAGTCGCCCCATCTAATATATCATCGATGATTTATATTGGTTGTTAAGGAGAATTTGTAATAGGTATAACAGTTGGATAACAAGTAGTTTAATTTTTTATATATAGCTCCATGCAATCATTCATTAATCACAAACAATGTATTAAATTGCGCAAATGGGCATTGAGTTATTTTTCATACGTGATATGAGATGCAAGCCTCAAGGCATTTTAAATTGTAAACCTTATAATCAACGAAGTGCACAAAACAAGAAGTATTGTACACACATCAAAGCATGAAGTAATAAAATATTAACATCCTAACATAGTAAGAAGTAAAAAATAGACAAGAAGAGGAGGCGGTAGTGGTAGCTAGGAAGGAGATGGTTACTAGTGTGTGAGAAGAAGTGGAGTAGCAAATGCATGAAGAAGAAGATGAGCTCGGGCAATCGAGTTAGGGTATCCTAAAACCGGGAGGGCTTAAGCTTTGAGGCGTGATGTGTAAGGCATGAGATGTGAGGGGTAAAGGGTAGGATTTGAAAAATAAAGGTTTGATTAATTCTATTTATTAATATTACCTAAGAAAATCTAATGTACATTGAGCATGCCTAACAAGGCCTAAGCACCTCACATTATGAGAGGTGTAAGTCACACATGACTAACATAAAGGTGAACTTCTTATTGCACAATTTTAAATAATAATTGAATTGAATAAGGATATGTAATCATACAACATGCATTCTCCTTTTTCCTCATGAATGTTCAGTAGAAACATATACCATTATTTACTATCCTAAATGGTAGGACAGGGTATATATTGCCATCTATAATCAGGCATGAACATCAAAATACTTGGGTCATATTTGCTGCAAAGTTAGAGAGAAATAAGGATTAATTATTATGTACAGACGCCGAACGTCATCCGAAGACCAGAATGCGCCACATCATCCCTGTGCTCGCTACCACTAATGTGCCGCATTCTAGGTGGTCTCTGAACAGCGTTCTGTATCCGGTCTCTGCAGAGAATAAATAATTCTTCGAAATGAGAGCTTCATACTTTACATACACCATTTTACTAAAAAAAAATTACGGTATAAAGCAACACTTCAATCATTCTCAAGAAGGATAATCATACCTATATATCCGGTTATTTCATGTTTGATTATAAAGAAGAACTGGAATCCAAACAAAAGCAATCGTAGATAATCACAAAAGCTTCTTATTAAAAAATTCTATGATAGGAATAGAACTAAGAGGCTTGAAATAGTCAATTGGGGTTTAAATCCATCAATTGTTGTAAGAACTTGCCAGCTTCTCCATAGGCAGCGTCGGCCGGTGAGACCTTGGTGCTGATGGTGGCAGCGCCTATGAGGATGGTGACAGCCAATCTGCGTGAGACTGCAGTAGAGTTGTTCTCCTCGGCCATGGCTGCCGCCTGCCTCTGAGCCCGGACGACAAGATGGGTAGGGCGGATGCTTGGTACAAGGCGCTGAGACCTTGAGGTGGCGGTGGCGGCGGCGGTGGCCGGGGAGGGAGCATGGTTGTGGAAGAAGCAAGCAGTAGTTGCCATCTCTCTCTCTCTTTGCCCTAACACTCCGAAATTTGTGAGCTTTTTCTGGTAGAGTGAAAATCAGGGGCTTCAATATGCTGTGGTGGGCACGCGAGTGGATAACGGCGATGACAGTCGTGGAATGGATAAGGTTCTAGCAGCTTTGATTGGTCCACGACGGACTGCATTTGTATAAACATCCCTCATCACAGAACCTCAGCTCTGATTGGTTCACGACGGCTGATAGGGTAATGTAATTATGTAAATGCAAAAAAAAAAAAAAAACGTTTTTTTTTTTATTTGAAAGAATTATTTACAGATTTACACTTCTTTATTCATGTACGCAAATCTGATTCAATACAAGCAAATAAATATATTTCAATGGTTGTGTTTGTTTTGTATGTGTGCATTTTAAATATATTTTACATACAGATCAAAATACCCAAAACAGTTCATTGAACATCTTTATGAGAAACGAGCAAATTCAAATTCTGCCTGCAAAAGAAACTTTTATTACGTCCTGTGACCGGACGTAGATCTACGTTCGGTCAGAGAATTAATACTCGGTTTTTGCTCCGTATTTGGTCGGTATTGTTAGGTATTGTTTGGTAATAACGAGGAATACGGCTCTATGAAGACCAATATCGAGTTATACCGAGCAATACCGAGCAACACCAAAAAATACCGAGCAACACCAAATAACACGGTATTTTGTCTCCACATAATGATATTTCTCGTTATTGTTGGTATTGCTCAGTATTTGCTCGGTATTTCTCGTTTTGTGCGTGCGATCTTCGTGCCGACCAAACGTACCTCTACATACGTTCACCGGATGTAATAAAAGTTCCTGCAAAAGAGGCATATATGTGAAAATGTTAGAGTAGCTCTAGTGGAAGATAAGATTAGAAAAATTCTTTATAAAACGACTGTCTTTCGATGACCCGATTAGAAGAGTGTAGATCTATTAGATTTCACTTATGTTAATAAAGATAGAGATATATCTAAAATGACTTCTAAAATGACTTTGTTAGAAAATATTAAAAATAACATTTCTTTATTAAATTTAAATGAGATTTTGATTTTTAGGTTTCATTTGCGACGACTTTCTTGTTGCTTCTTAAAGCAACTTTTTAATATAAAAATTTTAATTTTCATACTAAAAAATTGCTTTAAGAATCAACAAAAAAACTATCCATAATGAAGTTTTAATGGGACACAATGGAAAAAAAAAATTCATGTAATCGACCTCATGTAATATGATAAAAACTTATTTGTTGTTGTTAAGCAAATTCTGCCTATGATTACAAATTGTGGCACCCTATTTTTTAGTTTGTTAAAAGATTTATGAGCAATAATACCTTAAACATTTTTTTGTCAACTTGTTAATCCATTTGGCTTTCGAAGCTAATTCAATGAACGGATGATGCAAGAAGAATTGAATAAGATAAAAAAAAATTAAGTTAAACTAATTCAATGAGAAGATGAGAGAAGAATTTGATAAGAAAATAAAGCTGAGAAAATTTATGCTATGATGGGCTTAATAAAAATCATTAAACATTTAAACATGTTTTGAAATTAACATTGTATATAAAAAACTCATATTATACTAATCCTAAGATAAATTCAATATTTTTTTACTCATCAAAATAAAAATTATGCACACAATTTTTACATTATCATCTCAAGGTGACATGTCAGAGCCAAAAGACAAAATAATAAATAAGTTAAAGTTTGTTTGGGACGGCTTTTTTACTGCTTTTTAAATCAATTTTTTAGTACAAAAATTAAAACTTTTGTACTAAAAGGCTGCTTTATAAAGTAATAAGAAAGCCGTCTCAAACGAAGCCTTAGTAGGGCAAGCCATCAACCTTTCTATAATGTCAAGGTTGTCGAGAAATATTAGACACTAATTGATTTTCCGATCTGATTGAGGAGAAATTATTACGTACGGTGTCCAGATGTAAAGTTGTGTCAGTACTCCAATGAAATGTTCACACGTTGTTAAAATATATATTTTTATATTAATGCATATTTGTCGGGTATTTACTAAATATTTATTATATATTTGTTGAGTATTTATTGCATATTTATCAAATATTTATTGCGTATTTAATACTCAATAAATACTAAGTAAATACACATAAACATTCAGCAAAATATTCAATAATATGTAAAGTTCAGACGCAACTCTACATCCGAACTCTACACATAATAATTTCTCCTGTTTGAGACCAATGAAAAAAGTATATTTTAGCAATCGAGAAAAAAAAAAACGACTATTTCTTATCAACACAAAATCATTCCTAATCCCATAGAAGTTCAAAGGCTTCAAAGCTTCAAATCATCAATGACTGCTCATAAAATCAGACACAAAATATACAATAGATATGCAATAGTTACAATTCAAAGCTCAAAGGCTTTGATGGAATTTCAGAGCTCCCCTTCTCAACATAAAATCAAAAGTTGATGGAAGATGACTTCGTTGCAAAAATCTGAAAATTTTCAAGTATTTCAAATCATCACATTACAATTTACAACAGAAGTGGCTATTTATCAAAGTTAACAAGTAATTACATTGAAAAATAATTCCATCAACTTGATCAAAACAATCTGAATTAATTACTGAAGAATGAATAAAGAATATGTAAATGCTGGTGAATTGTGTTGGCTTCAATAGGGCAAATTATTAGGTCTGATCATCGGACCTATTTCTAGGTCCGGACATCCACTAAAAATTTGCTACGTTGAATGTACATATGTCTGCGGAATTTTAAGTCAAGCGCATCAAAAGCACAGATAAAACGCAGTCAAAGCACAGATCATGTGACAAGTTTTTATTGGATGTCCGGACCTAATAATTTGCCCTTCAATAGATACCTGATCTCCTCTATTCGAAGTCTGTAACTGTACAGGCATATAAGAATAACCAATTAAAGACGTATATAACCTCCTCCTCCCTGAAATGCACCTCTTCGGAGTGTTCTTCTCAAGAAGGACTTTCTGTTAAGAGACCATGATCTTCGTAATGCAGCTCGGTTGCTCCAAGCAGAAATATGTCGATAGATAGTTGGGAAGGTAAAGCAAAATAGAAGTAACAAGAACATAGCAGCACAGAGCAGTAAAACATTGCGAAAGCCATCTTTTAGTTCTGGGTCCTTCTGTCCTGTCCATGGCACTCCACCAACGTTCATACCAAATACTGTCAAGAAAAAACAAAATGCAGAAGTGAAGGAACCTGTAAAGTATTTGAAGCTTCGTTGGGATTGTTTTTTTTACTGTTTTTTAATATAAAAAATTTAATTTTGTATTGAAAATCTACTTTAAAAAGCAGTAAGAAAGCCGTCCCAAACGAAGCATGAATCTCGACATATCAATAGCAGCTAAGCTTACCTCCAGTGACAATTGATAGCGGAAGAAAAATCAGTGAGAAAAAGGAAAGGTAGTAAAGTTTTCTGTTTATTTGTTCTGCTTGCCAACTATCAAGACCAGCTTGAATGGCTGTCACCCGATTTACTATAAATCCCAGATTCTCTTTCAGTCTCCTAAGGCGACCAATTAGCTCCTCCAGAGCAACAATGTTTTCATTCAGGAACCAGCTTTTCCCCGCACATTTCTCTTTCACGCGTGGGAATACTTGCTCACCATGAGCAACTACCTGCATTAAAGCAGGTTAAACTAGTGAAATCAAAACTGATAGGAAATACTTTAGTTCACAAGTAATTCTATCGGATCTACTTGAGTTCGCAAGCAAATCTAACAATAATAGGAAAAAACAGCGAGAAAATGAAGAAATCGTGGTGGAAGAACAATCAAACAATAGCCAATCTTATAGAAAACAAAGAGAAACAAGAACAAAGCAAAGATAGAAGAGATCCTCAATTCGAGAGGAGGATAGTCTCTCCCAAATCTCTAGACAAGAAGAGCCCAAGTCTCCAAGAAACTCTAATTCCACTCAATCAAAACATAATCTTCTCTAATCCTCTCTTACTCTTTAATACAAAAAGTTTTCCTAATCTAATTTCCCTCCCAAGTCCTAGCCGCCAACTCTTTTTCAATTTGAAATTGCGTGGATAGGTGGGGCCCACCCTGTTGGGCAGAACTAGGCGGAACTAAACAGAGGAGGCGGACTGTTTCGGCCTTTAGTACACCGGCTGGGCCGGTTCAGTATGAACCGGCATATCAAAAACCTGTGTATATATATTATTTCTGCCTCAAACGAAGATTATATGGTATTTTAGTTGGATGCATAACAGTAAAATAGGGCAAAGAGGCTTAAAAATTCATAGAAGACCCAATTTGAGAAGCTGAAAATGACTCTCTAAAGGTAAGAGTTTGAATTTTTCTATAATAAATTCTACAAATGGTAAAAATGATTAATCACCTGTAGAAGGCGCTGCAAATCCAAATGCATTTTCGGAAATCTTCTATCATCTAGCATTTGTTTCTTCAGTGCAGAACCACCTATAACCAGAAGATATAGCGTGATTTTAAACAAGAAATCAAGTATAAATGCCACAATATAATCATCATTGTATAAAAATTTATTAACTGAATGAAGTGGCTATAAAACACAGCTTCATAAAGGGTTGAAAACGTTAAATGCAGCTAAAGGAACTAGCATTAGCAGAAACTAGCAACATTTCACTTTATTTGTTTCAAAAGAAGAATATAAGGCCAACAATCTTTTGAACAAATCAACCGCAGATTCATCTATGGTTCAGGAGAGCACATTAGAAGAAATGCTTAGTTGAATATATTTGAAAATTTTAAGATTAAAAAAAAAAATCTACTACACCTGTTTTAAGAGAACAGACTTGAATTGGTGATGATGAACTAAATGTTCATGCCGGTATTCATTTTGTATATAAACCACACTAAAACCCTTTTACACATTACACAAGCAAGTGTTTGCTTGTAATTCCACACCATGCACAGAAAGAACTTACAAAACAATTAGTATAGGATTCATTTTTTTCGCCAGCATTTCAAGAAAATGAGTAAGAAAACAAAAATCCTGAACAAGGAAACCTAACACTAGAATGCTTTGAATGGATTGTGATGCTACTCTAGCTTTTGTCCTTGTCAAGGTAAAATAATTCAAAGCTTGACAAGTTCCATGTGATTTGATTAAATAGCCGACTAGTTAAAATTCAACGCAATTTGATTCAAATTAATAGCATTAGTTTTACGCTTCTTCCTGGGGTAAAATAGTGTAATGAGCCAAACCTTTGAATCAGCCCATCCTTGACCATAAAAAACATGGCAGACTTAGGCCTAGGGGCGAAACCGGCCTTGATTCTTAGGGGGGGTAAATTTATAAATAACACATCTACACAACGTGTTTAATTTTGCTAGGGGACAATCACCTAAAGATCATAATATTTTATTTTTTTTAGGGGGGGGGGGGGAATTGCCTAAAAACTCCTATAATAAATAGTAAAAAAAGGATGGAGAGGAAGTAAAAAAAGGATGGAGAGGACCAAATTACCTAAATATCTATGTAATAAATATTTTTTAATTTTTTTAGGGGGGTCAATTGCCCCCCCCCCCCGCACTAGGTGGTTCCGCCCCTGCTTAGACCCAACATGTGAATTCCCTCGTTTTTGACATTGCCGCCTTCATTGTACAAGAATTCCACCCATCATCGCCATCAAAAGTGAAAAGTAAGGAACTGAGTTAGGGTTCTCCCACAAGTTTGTTTCACCGCTTCTCCTAAACCAGCCATACACCGCATCTCTTCCTCTCTTTTCTTCCACCCAAGAGCAAGATCACCCCTCTCACGCTGCAAGTCTTCATTGCCTTGTTCCAGCTGTAGCATATTGTCACCCGAGCTTTTTCCCTTTCTCACTTTCTTTGACATGCATCAGCATCCACTCTTGAGTCATGATGTCACTCTCCATCACAATTAGATTTTCTTCTTCATCTCCTCCTTACTGTTTTCCTTTCCACTTCCTTTATACACATCCATTATTAAAATTCTTTATTATAGGTGTTGGATTGTTCTTGTTGTTTCTTGAAAAATTCTCATTACTACTATAAACATCTACGTCTTCTAACAAATTAAGACTTCTTTATTTAACACATTATTCCCCTGGATCTCAATTGAGCATTTGTCTCCATATTGCATTGTGAGGAAGGTAATTTTTATTATTGGAGGATGAATGTACAATTATTTATTAGGGGCATTATCCTTGATACTTACATCATATTTACAAGAATATTTAGTAGATTCTATGTCATAACTTATATGTTTAATGATGTCTTTCATGCTCAAAATTTTCTTACATATTTGTAAAAGCTTTATAGATACCTCATAATGCTATATGATGTGTAGATCACTTTATCATGATAATTAAAGTATAAATCTGATAGGAAATGCTTGTAAGAAACCAAGAAAAGATTGGCTGAATTTGAATTTCAGTGAAGGCTAAACAACAATTGAGAAGAACGATGAAGAAAAATAAGAGAAAACATTTATAATTGATGAAATATGGAACAAAACGAACAAGATATAATGGATCTTCAATTCGAGAGAAAGATCCGGCTCTCCCAATCTCTAGCCACTAGCTATAGCCCAATCAATCCTTAGAACAATCTAATTTCAGCCAAAAAAGAGAAAACCCTATGATGTGAATCATATGAGATGATAACCACTAGGAGTTATTTCAAGAAATTTAAGAAGAGAAAAGATTAAAGTTTTGCTCCTTTTAAATTTAAAGCTAGCACATAGAATTGAGTTAAGAATATGAAATTTTCAACTTTATTAGGTCCAAAGAAATGCAATTGAAATTAACCGAAGCAATTCATTCAAAACTCCAAGAGATTTAGATGCAAAGTACAAGTAACAAAAATCCAACGCTTAACAATGAGAATTTCACCTTGTGGGCCGTTTCACTCAACTATTAGTAAGCTTTAGCGGAGAGAGAAGATCCAAATGATGAAGGATATCACCACTAGAGAGAAGGCGCCGAAGAACTTCGTCGGAGGAAAGGTAGCCGGTGGGGATGGATGTCGTAGGTGGCCGTCGAGACTCCAATTGTAGCTTGAAAATCGTCGGTCGATGATGCTTGCAAGGATCGGGATGACTCTCTCCAAATATTCTTCTACGGTGGTTTTGTCCTCAAATCCTACGTCGAAGCACGAGGATCGTAGGATGTTGATGCTTCCGTCGGCGTTGAACACAAGACCCCACTCAAGCTCCGGATCCGCCATACGTCATTGAAACGGAGATGGAAGACGTCGCCTTCGTTCCCTCTTGGACTCTTGATTCAAGAGACGGGGAGAGAGAGGGTGGGGACGGCGGGGATTTGTGGCCGGTGGCTTCTAGAGGGGGAAATTGGTGTGGGAGCAAGTGGATGTTTTCCAAATTGGGTGCATGAGGTTTAAGAAGGATTAAAACAAAATCCGTTTGAATTTGAATTTTGTCATGAAAACGGATTTAAAACTTTCCTAATTTGGAAATTCCAAAATTGGAAAGATTTTGAAATTCAAATTTTGAATTTTCAAAACTTGAATTCGAGGGGAATGGGAGATGAGGTCGATGGTTGAAAGGTCCACGAACGGATGGTGGTGGTGGGGTGGCCGGCGGCTAAGGGGAAGCTAAGGCCGGCGGGTTGGGAAGAAGGGAGGGGGATTGGATGTTGGGGATAGACCACGAGCCACGGACTCTTTCCAATGACTGGTGGGTATTGCTTTTCACCCTCACCTTGGGCTCTCGTTCTCCTTTCTAACTCTCCACAAGAAGAAAAAGAAGACAAGATGATCAAAACAAATTTTCATTCAAAATATTCATTAAGCTCAAAATAATACATGAGACCACTATATATAGGTCTCAACTCATACAATGAGAAAATACGAAATTGCCCTCTGGGCTACAATAACAAAGTAACTCCCCACAGGGGTAAAAATAGAAAGACTGCAAATAACATAAGATAATAATAAAATACATCATGACATCTAATATCAAAAGTAGAGGTGCTGAATTGTGGCCGTCGATCTGCGATTTCGCCGGCGATAAACATGTCGGTAGCGTTTGTCGATGTCCTCATCACCCTAACCCTAGGGAAAATATCCTATTAAAGTATATAATCATGAAGTAAATCCCAAAATAGCCCCTTCTTTGAATCTTCCCTCCTGAACACATTAATCCCTCTCTTAATATCTCTGTTGGACCCCACCCAAAGGGGTCAAGTTCTGCCTGTGATAAACTAAGGCTGGTCCAGTGACCAGTCTAATAGATTTACTTCTATACATCCCTTTCTTGTGTTATGGACCTTCTCAAAATTCCAACACTTATTTCCCATTTTTCTTCCCATGTAAAGCCAACTAACCAAAATCTATCAAAACCCATTCGCTCAATCTTCCTTAAAATCTGCACACAATAACTTTTATATCACAGACCCTAACAACTCTAGTAACCTCTTACCAACATCTTAAGCATTCCATAAAATATCTACACCCAATCTCCTTACCAAACCCCTCTTAAACTCCACTTAAAATCAACTACCAAAAGTAATCCAAAATCAGCCATTCTTAAATAGTTCTATATAAACATAGAAATCCTTCTCAAAATTTTAAAAGACTCAAATCACTTCAAAGGTCCTTTTACATTCCCCCACGTTAAATAAATTCCTCGACTCAACCTCTCCTAAGTCCACCATATGTCAATGAAAAAAAAACTAAAAATAAAATCTCAACAAATTGGACCTAACCCCTGAATTTCTTAGATCTTCCAAAAGAAGACTCTTTTTATAAATGTAAAGAAAAATATATGGACTATGAATGTAAGGAAAAATTCTGCACCATGAACTTTGTACCGCGTGCATCACTTAGTGGGGACCCCAGAAAGTAACTTGAGCAAGAGTGAAAAAAAAATATGAAATTTGAAAGAAAAGACAGAAGAGACGAAATGAAGAAATGCAAAATTATAAGAATCGGAGTTTCTTTGTACTGTGTCTGAAATACATCCTTTCTATTCCTATCCTTCCACTCTTTTATTGAATCCTTTTAGCTAATCTTTTTTAGCTATTAGATTTGAGATATATACGAAAATCTCACATACTTTTGGAATAAGAAAAGTATGAACAGAGAGGAAAAAATATAAATGAAAAAGAAAGTAAAGAATATCTATCCCGATCCATCAGTTCGTATCAAAACTTAAATTTGGAATAGGCAATAAACTTCAAGAAACTTTAATAAGGGCAATCAATAAGGCTTAATAAATGGCAACTACTTTTGACTTGTCGATGACCTCTGCATCTTAAACTTAAATCTTCTTGCTTTGGTATTAATCCATTTACAATTTGGTTTAGGCGGTTGCATGTTTCAAGGCAAACTTAAGATATAACTTCATCCTAGTAGTAAAATCTACTTATAAGCTAAAATACTTTCCAAAACCCACCATCCCATATTTGTCTTGAGTGCTACATTGTGAAAGTGTGTTTTACTTCAATTAAATTGGTACGTATCTAGATTTCTATTATAGACATGGTTGGTTATACTATGAAGTTTGTTTGATATTAGTTTTTTTCTATTGTGGAATCAATTTATGATAAATAAAGTATACTTTTAAATTAATTTATCGGATGATTTTTCCTATGAATAGGCAATAATCTAGAAATAAATTCAATCTAAAATTCTCCAGAAGAACTTCCTCTCGGTTCCTTCTCCAGCAAAAGCAAGGAGTTTATAGAATACTTTAGCATAACTGTAGCTATAGTGTTGTGCACTGAAGTACGTCATTGTTTTCTATTTGTTGAAGTCGTTGCTACCTCCATTGCTTCATTTTTGCCACTGTTATCCTCTTATAGTCGTCGTTTTCATCAACTTTCATTGTTGCTTTATAGTTTTCACAGAAAATAGGAGTCAAAACAACAATTGGTTGATATCTACTGCAAAAATAGCGAGAGTGCCTGCTATCCAACAAAGGAGTATAATCCAGATTGTTATTCCAACAATATAGGAGAAGAATTCAGTAGTTGGCTTGTTGTCTAGTGGAAGAAGACTCAAAATTAGAGAAAAAATATCGTCAACAATAAGGAGGAGAAAATAACAGAGAGTAGTTATCTACAGCTTGAAATAACACTTGTGGTGCCTTTGATTGATTGATATATCAATAAGAAATCTCCAAAAAATAAATTTCTTAAACCATTCCAAATCCATTCTATTCATAAAATTAAGAAGTTGGCTACTTATCATGAAGCTAAGTGATTAATATATGGAATGTTTTAAAACTATAAGAAAAAAAAATACGATGGAGACTTAAAGACAACTTGTATAAAACCATAATTATATTGACTATGGTATAGACAACAAAAAGACACTAATAAATAAATTAGATTTTTACAAGTGCATAACTCCAAACATATGGATTTATTATTATGGCTCCTTAATATTTAATATTGCAAGTACAATACTCAATCTATTAACTCATATAAAGATGCATCTTGGTGTTAAACTAAAAGAAATATTGCATTTTTTTTTTAAATTCACCTTACTTATGAAAATAACCGTCCTAATAATTAAGCCATAATGTGGATGAATCCTTAGAGACCATATCCGGGCCAAAAGTGCAATTAGGCTATATTATATGGTAGGTCAACTTAAACTTTTGTGCCATTAACTCAATCCACTCAATTTGTGATTGGGTCTAATCAAGCTAGACAGGTCTCTAAGCTCATGCTCCTATAAGGGTTGATGGCCTATTAACTAAACTAAGCTTAACTAGTTTAGTAAGACTATATACATCAGGGATTACTAATACAAAAGGTTAGGACGGTATACTAATAAATTCCTACATTTAAGTGGTATAACAAGAAAACTTCTACATAATTGTAAGATTTCAACAAAATATAAAATGTTAAGAAGAATGTATGATAAAAAAAGTTGAGAAGTAATTATTTTTACGAGACAAATGGAGTGCCAAAATAGACCATAAACCTGTTGAAAATTTTCAAAAAAGACCTACTTTGTATGTATGTACCAAAAATAAAGAACATACACCAAATATAGATATCTGAAGATTTAGCAAGAAAGGATAAATTAAAAAAAAAAAAACTGCACAAAAATGAATTAAAATGAATGATTCATAGCGTCAACACTAAAATTTTAGGCTAAGTGTATTTTTATTGATGATGGCAAGTTCTACAAATCGATCCTTCAAAAATCAAGGGAACCCTTTCAGGCTTTATCAATCTAAACGCCAAACCAGACAACATAATCAAATCATTTCATTCATCAAACACCAGAGACATCCCATACCTTTATCCAATTCCAGCTCGACGGAATCGAGCTGCATCTCGAGTCTGGTCACAATATCCTGCACGTGATCGACATGCGTATCTATAACGTGCACCACCAAATCAGACACAGTCCTCGGCACAGGATTATCTGCCTCCGCAGAATGATTCATCGTGAGCAAAAACTCGAGAACATGCTCACCGATAACGATTCCACTACCCTCGACCCTCTCCTCCCCATCCTCAGCACCCCTCCTATGCTCCAAAACGGGGATCTCGGAAAGCAGAGACTGCCCGGTCTGAGAAAAACCCAACCTCGGCACTCGCCCAAGCGAAACAGTAATGACAGTAGCCTCCGTAACACGGGCGGCGAGCCGGAGGGTGAAATCAGATGTGGCAGGGCCAGGTGAGTTCACGCGGAAAATAAGGGCGCCGTCGACGTGAGCACAGAATGGCCCATTAGACACTAATGAAAGAATGTCCTGTAGCTTGAGAGGAGGGCATAGGGCATCGATTAAGAGCTGAGCCGAAACGGAGAGCTTGTGGTTCCCTTTAGGGAGATCGACGTGGAACCAATTGAATTCGCAGTGTGAGGATTCGGCCTCGGCGATATCCCAATCACGAGAGAAGAAGCCGCCGCGGCCATCGAAGCGGTAAGCACGGAGCCGGACGGCTCCGGGGGATGGAAAGGACAGCCCGCGGCGGCGATCGCGATCGGGAAAGTGGAGGGAATGTGCCCCGCGGACGCCAACGGGAGCTGCCTCGGGAAAGCGATCGCGATCGCGATCACGATCCGCTTCCGAATCACCGTTAATGAACTCCATGGAAACGATAGAAAAAGCTGAAAGACGGCGGAAAACGATTCGTCTTCCGCTGTCGATGGATCTCGGAAGTCGCGTCGAGGACAGCGGATCGTGACTTCCTCGGTACCGTTCTCTTCAACGAAGGAGAACGGGACTCGCGTGCCGCATCTGTAGCGCGGGGAGAGAGCCTGTCATGCCAAGTGCGAACCAGACGAGAGGATGGCGTACTGTAGCAAGGCTATGTTATTTAATGGTAATGATGTTTACTTTGATGCCCATTTATCAAAATATTCAACAAATTTAATGATAATTATATTTATCCTGACTTCTGAATATCTAAGCATTCTTTATTGATGGGGGATTTGATATTTATTATTACTCTAAAAGAAAATTTTAATATTTAGGTCGTAATTAATTATATTGGATTTTCTTTTTTAGGGTCAAAATATATCTTAAATCTTACCATCATTAAAAGATGCCTAAGTGCGTAATTATCACATAAATTGAGCGTATTTTTTAATTAAATGTTAATTATCTCTTTTAACTATAATAAATTTTAAATTAATTATTACAAAAGAAATTAAATATATACAAGTATGTATTTATTTATAGTTTTTCATATCATTTGATTTATTAAAATTTATAAATAAAAAAAAATAAATTTTAAAACTGAGATAACACTTGAGGTATTACAAAATATGAAAAATTATTTTCGGTATTCAGGAATATGTTAAATAGATGCTCGTATTTGTTCCTTCCTCTAAATAAATTTTAATTACGCTCATTATTCCCTTTAATTAAATGCTAATAAAGCTCATTTTCAAAAACTAGACTTTTTTATCACAGGTTGTGAATTTGGGCTAATTATTAGGTCCAGTCAATTG